AATATAATAAACTGCTATGGTTTTAATTTTTATATTAAAAATGAACTGAGATAAGTAATATATATTAATACATATAATATAATATAATATAATATAAGTAATATATATGATTTCACTACGAACTAATAAATGTTTTTATATTTAATGCACCATAAGGGACCGACGTGCGTATGAGTAACGTTAAATCACTCTTGTGATACTTTATGACATGTTATTAAATATACTTTAAAGTTTTCTACTATTTTATATATGTTTTATAAAATATATTTGTATTTAAATTAATGCACTTGTTGTGCAATTTTAAACTGAATCTTTGACTATATGGTCCCTTTTTTTTGAACCAAATTAGTTGTAAAATATGCAAAATAAAAAACAAAAATGTATAAAATTTTGTATAAAAATATATAAATGTTTTTATTTATCAAAATAAATAAATAGAAAGTTTAACTAAAAAACTAAAGAAGTAAGCACTATATTTAAAAGCACGAAAAACAACCAAATATGAAATGCAGATATTTTAAATATCACGCATACGAACATGACCTCAACATTTTGTAATTTTTTTTCCAGTGATAGCATTTATTGTATTGTTGAAATGGGAATTTCACGCTCTTTTAACAATATATTGAAGTTAACCAAATTAAATGAAAAGGGCATCATCTTATTTAAAAAGTTAACAAAATTTAAATAAAAAATTAAAATTTAAAAATTTAACATTATTGTAAATTCCAAAAAAAGTTGTACTACTTAAAAACACATTACTCATTTATTAATTATTTCATAGTTTTCAGTTATTGTAGATATGGGTTAGGTTTTTATTTTACAATCTTTTCACAATGTACAGAGGAACTAATAAAAGTTCACTTAGCTGGCAATTAATTTGGTTAGCTGATTTGGCATAGTATTGCAATATTCCATTTGAAGTTTTACAGTAAGCAGTCAAAATAAAATCTTAACACTGAAATCTTAACAACAGATTCAGTTTGCCGTTCTTTTTGGATTACAGTGTAGTCTCAAGTTTGTCAAAATATTAAAAGAGTGTCAAATAGTATACAGATGGAATACCATCGCTTGTTTCCATATCAAACTAGTTTCAGAGCTTTCAAAGCGGAGATTTTTCTGTGGGTGACGAATTTCTCGAATGTCGAGCAATCATAATCACTGATGATATGAGCATTGCATTTGTAAAGTTCAAAATTAATGCTTATGCAACATTAACTCAAGATCTGAATCTGGCTCTGATCTGGCTTAAACGTCCAACAATATTAGGAATTCTCCTAATGAAGCCAAAAGCGAATTTTCGGAAATACGTATAGAAATATACTAAAAACAACGATCGAAATAAAAGTTATAATTCTGAAAAAAAACAAAACCGACTTTAAACGTTATATTTGCGTTTTCACCTGAATAATAAATAGACCTGGAGAACATTTTCACAAACCGTATAGCTATGGATTTCGAAACTTATTTTGGTTCGTCCAGTCGAAACTCTGACACAAGCTTGGTACCCTGGTATATAAACATTATCAATTATATAAATAGCTTTCAGTCGCAACAATCAAAAAACGTTAAAAATTCTAAAGGAATAGTCCGATTGCTTACATAACTATAAAACCAATTTGTAATGGATCTTCTTAAATGAATTTCTTTATTTTATATGATAATCCAGATATCTAGATAATCTATCTAAGATTATCATAGAACAGATTATCCAAAATATAACTTATTTTGATTGTTATATTGTCGAATAATTAAACCAAAATATCAAAAACGTTTTGGTTTTAAATATTGCTACCTGTTTATACCTATATCTTTATCTAGCAGCCGTTTATTCACTCTTTAGAGCTAATTTACTACATCTGCAATTTCACTAACACCATACAGGGGCACATTGAAGTGCTCGTCCAGTATTTTAAAAAGTGTAGAATAATTTTCATTACCAGGAAGCGCTACCAAGCACCCAGAAGACTAAAGGTAGATGAACCAGAAAAATAATCCATACTTAAATACCTACATATAACTTTTGACAACAGACACTTCTGGAAAACATACTTAAGCCCAAACGAAATCAAGCTGCCCAAATAATGCACTCACTCCACTCGCTCATCAGCAGCAAAAAACTCAATATGAAAAATAGAGCTAACATATACAAGCGGATTATAAAACCAGGAATACTCTATGATAGTATTGCATTCTGCCAAGCACCAAACTCCACTTAAAAATTCTTCAAATAGGGCAAAATATCGCCTTTAGAAAATTGGTTAACGGTCAGTGGTACATAAGAGGAGCGAATATCCATAAAGATCTGAGAGTCGATTCAGTCGAAAAATACTTTAAAGATCGTGCACTGAAACTGTTCAACATAAATGACAATTACAATAATCCAACACTGAACAACTTAAAAACACAGCGAAACCTGATAAACACAGGTAGATACAAAGACATTAACATAGATTCATCATTTCATAAAGGTCCCGTATTCATCCATTCTTAGTGTGACTTAAAACTATCCGCAGGTAAAATAGAGTAAAGGTGATGAATCACCAACTGAGGTACACACGCATACAAGAATACATTAAAAAGATAACTCCTATGCAATTAATTACACAAATTTTAAATAATTTATCTCTATTAAAATAGAGATAAGATGTTATGAATTTAATCAAATCAATCAGTTCTTGGAACAAAAAATAAATAAACTTAAGGGCATTGTTGCTTATCCAGAAGTATAAATATTTTTACTGTCATTTAATACAAGTGATATATATGAAAAAATAAATGAATAAATCCCAATTGTGAGTTGCTTTCGATAATTGAACTTCATCATTCGTTTTTTATGGAAGATACGCAGTTCAAAGACTTTATTGAACTCTCTTTATTTCGAAAGATTTTATTAAATACTCTTGTAAAAGTGTCAACGCAAATAAAAAATATTTAATTTAAAAATTTAACTACTTTAACGATTTTTGCAATGAGAGTCACTTAAGGTCATAACAAAAGAGATGTTAAAATGTACAATTTTATCATTCATCATTTAACTGTCATTATGGTGATATTACAGAAAGAAACAAAATAAGAGAAGGCTTCGTCGCAATATACACTATCACAATCCTTGCTGACATATGGCGTCAAATATACACTTACGTACTAGTTACATGTGACTACAATATTTTATTTGATAGCAAACTACATTGTACATACATATACGAGTATGTATATTTTTGCTTTAATACATTTTACACATATAGATATTACGGGAAGGGAATATTCTTTGGTGGAACATTTGTTATACAGTGTAGCAGACATCGGAAACTCTATGAAATATGTTGTTTCTTAAACCACAGCATGGAGTAAATGAAAGCAGATGCTATGTATCATTGGTGGCAGTACGCACTGACTATGTAATATGAAAAACTAGCAGTGTAGAAATATAGGCAGAATAAGAAAAAAATAGTTGAAAAGAACATAAACACAACACTGAATTCGTTGGTTAAAGTTTATATTGGCAACAAAAATCGTTACGAATAGTAACGATAGTTAGACTATACCTATTAAGAAAAAAAACTGAATACATATGAGTGCAGGAAGAGACAACAAGCTCTAGAAAACTAAGGATGTAACAGCTATTGTAGTAGAGTAGAGTTTAAGATGACTATTCGAGTAGAAATGTGACGAGCTACATATAGTTACGAGCCAGCGAATTAATACAACGTAATAAGAAGTCACCTCAATAACTATTGTATAAATGTTAATAGATATTAACAATTAAAACAGAAACAATATGCTTTAATTTATTATTACATCAACCTAGATTTTAATATAATATATTTTAACCGGGATTAAGGTCGGTTATTTAACACTCAAATTGATAAAGAATGGCACTTTCTAAATTTCTGTCAAAATTTTATATATTTATATATTTTTTTATAAAAACAAAATTTTTATTTAAATATTTCGGACTACTTTGTAGACCATCTTTACTGCACATAAAAAAATATTAAATATCTTGACTTTACCGATAATTTACCAATAATCGTGTTGATAAACATTGAGGGGAGGCACTGATTTCATATCGACAACCAACATTTTTTAGGCACTTGCAATTCTTTAGTTCCAAATTATATACGGACTATAAACTAATTAAATAAAAATTTGAATATTTCCTAAGATCACTGATGATTAGTACTTGGGAATACTCGATATCGCGTTCTATGGTCAGTCAAAATATTTGTTGTTACTTCTTCATTACTTTTCGAACCTTTTTCGAACATATTCGACAAAAAAATTAACATTAAAAATTCTTTAAATCTATTTATTTATTTTGATATATTCGTAATTATCTATCTTTATTGATATCAGTGCTCCAGATTTAAGTGTTTATATATCGATAACACTTTTATAGCTTAAATACAAAATTTAGTTGTAAAAATAAATTATATTTAATATCTAGAAAACTTGAAAACTGCAGAAAAACGCAGTTTTTTTTTTTGGAAAACTTTACAAAAATCAAAATAGTTCTGAAAATGTACTTCAAAAATTAACTGACAACTTGAGCCAAATTCTCAATAGAGTCTAGAAAACAAACGTTTAGTATACACTAATATTCTGCTAAAACTGAGTGGATGTAAGCTATAAAACGTTGAGCTAGAGCTTGTTAGATTCTGTAAATCTAACAATGAAAAATAATTAAAAGTATTGCCAAATCTCTATTGTAAGTATCGAACCACACAACAACTACTGTAACATTATCTTTCTGAAAATCAATTTTATATATACAACAAGTAAAAAAATAAATAGTAATAAAATAAATAGATGCTTGTAAAGTTTGTATAGGTAATAGCCGGACAGTAAAAAGGTTGAAGAACTGGCAGATATTAGACTATTTAATATAAATGTTTG